TCTTTTCTTTCTTTCTTTCTTTTGCTTTCTTTCTTTTCTCTCTCTCTCTCTCTCTCTCTCTCTCTCTCTCTCTCGTCCCTCCCTCCCTCCCTCTCCTTCTCTCTTTCTTTCTTTGACAGAGTCTCACGTCTTTACCCAGGCTGGAGTGCAGTGGCACAATCTCAGCTCACTGCAACCTCCGCCTCCTAGGTTCAAGCAATTCTCCTATCTCAGCCTCCAGAGTAGCTGGGATTACAGGTGCCCACCACTATGCCCGGCTAATTTTTGTATGTTTAGTAGAGACAGAGTTTTACCATGTTGATCAGGCTGGTCTCAAACTCCTGACCTCTGATGATCAGCCTGCCTTGGCCTCCCAAAGTGCTGGGATTGTAGGTGTGAGCCACCAGGCCCAGCCTGCAATTTATTTTCATACATTCATCGTATATCCTGCTACCTTACTCAGCTTTATTAGTTCTAATAGCTTTGGGGGTGATTTCTTAGGATATGCAGGACCCTCATCTGTGTGTAAAGATGGTTTTACTTCTTCCTTTCCAATCTGGATGCTTTTAATGTCTCTCTTTTGTCTTATATCATTTTGGTTTTTCCTTATCACACCGAGTAGAGCCTGCAGTATAGTGCTGAATAAGAGTGGTACATCAGATGTGCCCCTCGCTTTGTCCCCCGTTACAGGGAAAAGATTCTGGCATTTACTGTTATATACTTTAGCTGGGCCAGGCACAGTGGCTCACGCCTGTGATCCCAACACTTTGGGAGGCCGAGGTGGGAGGATTGCCTGAGCCTAGGAGTTTGAGAACAGCCTGGGCAACACAGCAAGATCCCGTAAAAAATGCAGAAAAATCTGGGCACAGTGGCTCAAGCCTGTAATCCCAGCACTTTGGGAGGCCGAGGCAGGCGGATCACGAGGTCAGGAGATCGAGACCATCCTGGCTAACCCAGTGAAACCCCGTCTCTACTAAAAAATACAAAAAACCAGCCAGGCGAGGTGGCGGGCGCCTGTAGTCCCAGCTACTCGGGAGGCTGAGGCAGGAGAATGGCGTGAACCCGGGAGGCGGAGCTTGCAGTGAGCCGAGATCCAGCCACTGTACTCCAGCCTGGGCGACAGAGCGAGATGCCGTCTCAAAAAAAAAAAAAAAAATGCAAAAAAAAAAAAAATTTAAGCTAGCTGGATGTGGCGATGTGCACCTGTAGTCCCAGCTACTTGACAAGCTGAGGCAGGGTGGTCCCTTGAGCCCAGGATGTCAAGGCTGCAGTGAGCTGTGATTGTGCCACTGTGCTCCAACCTGGGCAACAGAATAAGACTCTGTCTCCAGAAATGTATATATATTAAATATAAACATTTTAATATATTGTATATTTTTTATATATTTTTATGTATTCTATAATACTTTATATATAATATACATATTTGCCATACATTTTTCATAGATGCCTTTATCAGCCTGAGGAAATTCCCTTCTATTTCTAGTTTATTGTGCGTTTCTATCTTAAATAGGTGAGAATTTCTCAAGTGCTTTTCTGGTAGCTATTGAGATGGTCATGTGGTTTTGTCTTTTATTTCATCAATGTGATGTATTACAGAAATGGATTGTTGAGGGCTGGGCACAGTGGCTCACGCCTGTAATCCCAGCACTTTGGGAGGCCGAGGCAGGTGGATCACAAGCTCAGGAGATCGAGACCATCCTGGCTAACATGGTGAAACCCCATCTCTACTAAAACAAACAAACAAACAAACAAAAACTTAGTCAGGCGTGGTGACGGGCACCTGTAGTCCCAGCTACTTGGGAGGCTGAGGCAGAAGAATGGCGTAAACCTGGGAGGCAGAGCTTGCAGTGAGCCGAGATCACGCCACTGCACTCCAGCCTGCGTGACAGAGTGAGACTCCATCTCAAAAAAAAAAAAAAAGGAAATTGATTGTTGAATATTAAGCCAACTTTGCATTCCTGGAGTAAATCCCAGTTGGTCCTGGTGTGTGATCCTTTTTATTTTTATTTTATTTTTATTTTTTATTTTTATTTATTTATTTATTTATTTTTTTGAGACAGAGTCTTGCTCTGTCACCCAGGCTGGAGTGCAGTGGCTAGATCTCAGCTCACTGCAAGCTCCGCCTCCCGGGTTCACACCATTCTCCTGCCTCAGCCTCCCGAGTAGCTAGGACTACAGGCGTCCGCCACCATGCCCAGCTAGTTTTTTGTATTTTTTTTAGTAGAGACGGGGTTTCACTGTGTTAGCCAGGATGGTCTCCATCTCCTGACCTCGTGATCCGCCCATCTTGGCCTCCCAAAGTGCTGGGATTACAGGCTTGAGCCACCGCGCCCGGCCCTTGTGATCCTTTTTATACGCTGCTGATTTGGTTTGTAATCTTTTGTTAAAGATTTTTGGCTGGGCACGGTGGCTCACGCCTGTAATCCCAGCACTTTGGGAGGCAGAGGCGGGTGGATCACGAGGTCAGGAGATCGAGACCATCCTGGCTAACATGGTGAAACCCCGTCTCTACTAAAAACAAAAAATTAGCCAGGCGAGGTGGTGGGCGCCTGTAGTCCCAGCTACTCGGGAGGCTGAGGCAGAAGAATGGCATGAACCCGGGAGATGGAGCTTGCAGTGAGCCGAGATCATGCCACTGCACTCCAGCCTGGGTGACAGAGTGAGACTCCGTCTCAAAAAAAAAAAAAAAAAAGAGCTTTTTGTGTCTATGTTCATGAGGCTAGTCCTCTGTACTTTTCTTTCTTTCTTTCTTTCTTTTTTTTTTGAGACGAAGTCTTGCTCTGTCGCCCAGGCTGGAGTGCAGTGGCGCGATCTCGGCTCACTGCAAGCTCCGCCTCCCGGGTTCACGCTGTTCTCCTGCCTCAACCTCCTAAGTAGCTGGGACTACAGGTGCCCGCCACCATGCCCAGCTAATTTTTTGTATTTTGTTTAGTAGAGACGGGGTTTCACCGTGTTAGCCAGGATGGTCTCGATCTCCTGACCTCGTGATCCGCCCGCCTTGGCCTCCCAAAGTGCTGGGATTACAGGCGTGAGCCACCACACCCAGCCCTGTGTACTTTTCTCGTCGTAATTTTCTGACCTTTGCGGAAGGGTAGTACTGGTTCGTAGAGTGAGGCGGGAAACAGTTCTTCCTCTTTTATTCTGTGAAAGATTTGGTATTATTTCTTCTTTCAAGACTTGGTAGAATTTGCCAGCGAATCTATCTGGGTTGAACTTTTATTTGTGAGAAGAATTTAAATGACCAATTCAATGTCTTTAGTTGTTACAGATCTTTTCCAATTTTTGGTTTCTTCTTAAATCTGTTTTTAAAGTGTGTGCCTTTACAGGAATTCATCCATTTCATCTAAGTATTTTACTTTGTTGGTATAAAGCGTTCATAATATTCTCTAATAGGCCTTTTAGTTTCTGCAAGGTCAGTGACATCCCCTCTTTAATTCCTGAATTTGATCATTTATATGTTCTCTCTCTCTCTCTCTCTCTTTTTTTTTTTTTTGAGATGGAGTTTCACTTTTGTCGCCCAGGCTGGTGGTGCAATGGCACGATCTCAGCTCACCACAACCTCTGCCTCCAATTCTCCTGCCTCAGCCTCCCGAGTAGCTGGGAATATAGGCGTGCGCCACCACACCCAGCTAATTTTTGTAGTTTTAGTACAAACAGGGTTTCACCATGTTGGCCAGGCTGCTTTTGATCTCCTGACCTAGTGATCTGCCCACCTCGGCCTCCCAAAGTGCTGGGATTACAGGAGTGAGCCACGGCGCCTGGACCAGATTGGACAATTTCTGTTCATTGATCTGTGGTCAAGTTTGTTGTTTCTTTTTTCTGTCATGTGACATCTGCCCTTTTAGTGATTTTTTTTTTTTCATTTCAGTTATACTTTTCAACTCCAGAATATCCATGTGTTTCTTTTTTATACTTTTTTTTTTCACATCTTAAATATAATCCATGGGGTCACATTTTTATGTTTCATTTCTTTATTGAGTGTCTCTATTTGCTGATTCATTGTTGATATGCTTTCCTTTCATTCTTTACACATAGTTTTCTTTAGTTGTTAGAACATCTGTATATTTCCTGCTTTGAAGTTTTGTTCTGAAAAAGTCAGCATCAGAGGACACTCAGGGACGGTGTTTCTTTGTATATCCTGTAATGGCTTTGTGGAAAACCAGACATTTTAAATGATACACTGTCACAGCTTTAAAGTATTATTTTTCTCCCTTGAGGGCTGTTGTTGCTGCTATTTTTCTGTTTGTTTGTTTTGTAATTTGCCTCAACTTAGTTTGTGAACTCCGTCCCCCCTCCATGATGTGCAGCCACCGATGTCTCTGAATGTGGATTTTTTTTTTTTTTGAGATGGAGTCTCGCTCTGTTGCCCAGGCTGGAGTGCAGTGGTGTGATCTCCGCTCACTGCAATCTCTGCCTCTCAGGTTCAAGCGATTATTGTGCCTCAGCCTCCCAAGTAGTTGGGATGACAGGCAGGCACCACTATGCCCAGCTAATTTTTGTATTTTTAGTAGAAACGGGGTTTCACCATGTTGGCCAGGCTGGTCTCAAACTCCTGACCTCAGGTGATCTGCCGGCCTTGGCCTCCCAAAGTGCTGGGATTACAGGCATGAGCCACCATGCCCGACCTCTGATTATGTTTTTATTATTTATTTACTTTAAGACAAGGTCTCGATCCGTCACCCAGCCTGGAGTGCAATGGGATGATCATAGCTCACAGCAGCCTCGAGTGTCTGGGTTCAAGTGATCCTCCCACCCCAGCCTCCCAAGTAGCTGGGACCACAGGCACGCACCACCAGACCCAGCTGTCCGTGGGATATACTTATATTGAAAAAGTGAATTCTTACTTATCTGAAATTCAAATTTAATTGTACATCCTGTTTGTATTTTCCTGAGTATGGCAACCCTACCTGGGGGGATCTTCTTGTAGTAATTAATGCGGTGAGCTGGGGTGCTCCCATGTACCTGTTTCCTTCCCATCCTTATTCCCATCAGATGACCTCACTTTTTATTTCACCAAGGAAATTGCAGCAACCACAGGAGACCTGCTGGCAGCCCTCGCCACATCCTCCCTCCACCTGCTCTGAGTCTGCACTCTGCCCTTCCACTGCCATGAGGAAAGGACTGCTCCTACCTGCCACAGACCCCCATTTTGCATGCGTCACAGGAGCCTGTGGACAAACCCTGCCACCCAGGCCCCTTCCTGTTGTGTTTGTATTGCTGACAGCACACCATTCCTGACTGGTTCCTGTATATACCCATTTTACAGATAAGAAAACTGAGGCGGCCGGGCGCGGTGGCTCAAGCCTGTAATCCCAGCACTTTGGGAGGCCGAGATGGGCGGATCACGAGGTCAGACGGATCACGAGGTCAGGAGATCGAGACCATCCTGGCTAACACGGTGAAACCTCGTCTCTACTAAAAAATACAAAAAAAAAAAACTAGCCGGGCGAGGTGGCGGGCGCCTGTAGTCCCAGCTACTCGGAAGGCTGAGGCAGGAGAATGGCGTAAACCCGGAAGGCGGAACTTGCAGTGAGCTGAGATCTGGCCACTGCACTCCAGCCCGGGTGACAGCGAGACTCCGTCTCAAAAAAAAAAAAAAAAAAAAAAAAAAAGAAAACTGAGGCTCAGTTTAAGGCACAGATTAAGATTATACAACCGGCTGGGCATGGTGGCTCATGCCTGTAATTTCAGCACTTTGGGAGGCCAAGGTGGGCAGATCACTTGAGCTCAGGAATTCAAGACCAGTCTGGCCAACATGATGAAACCCCATCTCTACTAAAAATACAAAAATTAGCCAGGCATGGTGGTGGACACCTGTAGTCCCAGCTGCTCTGGAGGCTGAGGCAGGAGAATCACTTGAACCTGGGAGATGGAGGTTGCAGTGAGCTGAGATTGTGTCACTGCACTCCAGCCTGGACGACACAGCGAGAATCCATCTCAAAAAAAAAAAAAAGGCCGGGCGCGGTGGCTCAAGCCTGTAATCCCAGCACTTTGGGAGGCCGAGACGGGCGGATCACTAGGTCAGGAGATCGAGACCATCCTGGCTAACACGGCGAAACCCCGTCTCTACTAAAAAATACAAAAAACTAGCCGGGCGAGGTGGCGGGCGCCTGTAGTCCCAGCTACTCAGGAGGCTGAGACAGGAGAATGGCCTGAACCCGGGAGGCGGAGCTTGCAGTGAGCTGAGATCCGGCCACTGCACTCCAGCCTGGGCGACAGAGCGAGACTCCGTCTCAAAAAAAAAAAAAAAAAAAAAAAAAAAAAAAAAAAAGGCTATAAAATCAATAAGATCTGATAGGTACAGTATAGTATAAAAAAATGACAAAATTGTAATCCCAGAACTTTGGGAGGCTGAGGCGGGCGGATCACTTGAGCTCAGGAGTTCTAGACCAGCCTGGCCAACATGGTGAAACCCTGTCTCTACTAAACATACAAAAATTAGTCGGTCAGAGTAGCATGGGCCTGTAGTCCCAGCGACTCAGCAGGCCGAGGCAGGAGAATCGCTTGAACCTGGGAGCTGTAGGTTGCAGTGAGCTGAGATCATGCCATTGTACTCCAGCCTGGGTGATAGAATAAAACCATGTCTCAAAAAAAGAAAACAAAACAAACCAACAAAAAAAACCTAAAAAAAAAAAAAAAAAAGGCTGAGCACCGTGGCTCACATCTGTAATCCCAGCACTTTGGGAGGCCAAGGCGGGCGAATCACTTGAGATCAGGAGTTCAAGACCAGCCTGGGCAACATGACAAAGCCCCATCTCTACTAAAAACACAAAAATTAGCTGGGCATGGTGGTGGACATCTGTAATCCCAGCTACTCAGGAGGCTGAGGCAGGAGAACTGCTGGAACCCAGGAGATGGAGGCTGCAGTGACCTGAGATCGCATCACTGCATGGCAGCCTCGAGACCGTCTCAAAAGAAAAAAAAAAAAAAAAAAAAGAAGGAAGTAGAGATAGGTTTGACCCCAAGGCTGTTCCTCTAAAGGGTTCCCCATTCGCCCATCTCTTCTCTGAGCCCAGGACCTGGCCCTGTTGGGCCTGGAAGCCTCCAAGGAGGAGCCACTGCCACCTCCGTGGGGCCTGGTGGGGGTCATAGGTTGGTTGGTACAAGCAGTAGACCTGCTTTTATCCTTCGTTCGACACCCAAGTCTCAGCAGACAATGTCACGCGACCCATCCTCGGCTGACTCCGGCAGTGAGAAGGGTCCCGCCAGAAGACCCCCAGGTACCCTTCAGTCTATGCAATGGGAGGGTGGACCCTGAGATCTTCTGCACCCCAAGACCACACAGCACAGGAGAGGAGCATGACTCCAAAGAGAAGGTGGGCTATGTCTGGAAACGGGCAAGAAAAACGGGACCTGTGGCCCTTCCCACCGGATGGGGAGAAGCTGAGGAAGGCATCTCGGAGGAGGTGATGGCTTATGGGGAAATTTGTGTGCAGGGATCAAAGTGAGGGAAGCGCTTTGGGGTGGAGTGGCCAGCAGGAGCAAAGGCTTGGAGGCCAGAGAGAATCTGAGCGGCACACAGGCTGGGGAGGGGTTGGCCGGGCCTCCGACACCGGCCTCTGCAGCTTGGGCCTATTTTACTGACCCAAGTCCCAATATCGCCAGGTCCCAGCGATTTCTCACAGCAGCCGGGTGTCCCTCCTTTTGTCCCATTCCCGCTGGCCCCGACTTCCTAGAGCACTGCTTCTCCAGGCCTCAGTTTCCCCTCTTCCAAGGTCAGGGCCCGCTCTCCTTCCCGGGGCTGCCAGGAGCCCGGAGCGTGGGAAACGGCTCTGCTCTGTGTCCGGGGCCAAAGACATGCCAGGGCGGTCGTGCCAGCCAGGCTCTCGGGCTCTTGGGCGCTCGCCACACTCTGGCGGCCAAACAATGCCCACCTCTGAGCAGAGCTGTGGGTGGCGGTAACCATGGTGAGGGGCCCTCCACGCCAACTGCCCATCCGGGGTCAGCCGGGCCCGTGGTCCTGGTTCCGGCTTTGTCTCGGGGCTGGAATTGGGCCCGGGGATGGGCTCTGAATGGCTGGCGGGCGGGAGGGCAGTGCCCACCACAGAGCGACGGCTGCTGGCTGGAGAGAGGGTGTGGGGTTGATGAGAGGGCAACCCAGCTGTTTCTAGGTCCTGAAGTCGCAGTGGCGTCCGGGTGGGAGTCCCGGCTGGTCGCTGTGCCCATTGGCAGCACCTTCCCTGACGCCCCAGGCTCTGTGCTGTGCCCACTGTAAGGACAGGGCCTGGTGTGTCCCTGGAAGGAGGTGATCCCCGTCTCCAAGTTCCGGGATGTTCCAGGCAGCCGGCCAGAGCACAGTGGGTCTGCTCCAGCCTCTCAGCCTGGACGAGGCTCCATCTGGCCACTGGCTTGCGCACCCCCAGTTCCCCGAATCCCTCCGTGACTGGCGGGAAATGGGCATGAGCGTGGGGCCTCTGCCAGGGCACAGAGTGACCAACCCTCCCCAGCTGTGGGGTCAGAGTCCCCCAAAAGTTGTGCTTGCAAAACCCATGTTTGCAAACTCAGGACCTCGTTTAATAAAAGAGTAAGGAGGCCAGGCACTGTGGCCAGGGGGAGGAGAGCTGGCAGGGGCAGCAAGATGAGGGCTGCGCCGTACTCTGGGCACTGGGTTCCCTTGGGCAATGTCCCTGGTGGGGTCCAAGGCTGCCCTTTTTGTCCCCCCTCCACCTCTGCTTGGCAGTCCAGGGGCTAGGGAATTTGAGAGGGGAGGACTTCGGGTCTCACCCAAGCCAGGTGATGGCAAGGGAAAAGGACTGTCATTCCTCAGCCTCAGAGAGACCACGGTCCTCATTCAAGTACCTGCAAGACAAGAAGGACCCAACTTCCCCTCCCCTAGGCCACTCCTGTCCCAATCTGGCCCCTACCCCAGGTGTGGTGTGGAGGCCACGACCCCACCCCAACCCCTGGTTCCCTCGGGCCCTTCGTGTCCTAAGACACCATGGCCCCTCAGTGCTCCAGCCCCTGTCCCCTGGGACCCCAGCCCAGCCCTGCTCCTCTTCTCGCTTCTGGGCTCTTCTCATGTCTGGGGCTCGGGTGCCTCGCCTGTCCATGCTGGGCGAGCAGAGGCACTGCCTGGTGCTGAAAAGACAGCTCCGGCCAGCCAGTGCCCCCAGAGAGCAGACCCAGCCGGATGCAGAAATGACCAGAAATGACGCAGTGGGTGAGGGGCGCAGAGGCCTGGCAGGGAGCGGGAGCTGGGGCAATGTCTGGGTACACGGGATGCCCCTGGCTACTGCTGAGGCTGGCCCCAGCCCTAGGTCTATGCACTAAGCGTCATCCCCTGCACAGCCCCAGTCCCCCACGGGCCCCGGCTTATGGACTGTTGTTGCTTTATTTTGCAGAAGAGGAAACGGAGACAGAGCAAGGGAAGTTTCCCACCATCCCCATGTGGAAGGAGTGTGGTCCCCACTGGGGCGCTCATCTGCAGGCACAATCCAGAACATGTGTGCCTGGACGCTGGATCAAGCACAGGGCCTCGGACTCTCCATGATGATTTTATTTTATTTTGAGATGGAGTCTCACTGTCACCCAGGCTGGAGTGCAATGGTGCAATCTCGGCTTCTGGGTTCAAGTGATTCTTCTGCCTCAGCCTCCCAAGTAGCTGGGATTACAGGCATGTGCCACCACACCTGACTAATTTTGTATTTTTAGTAGAGACGGGTTTCACCCTGTTGGTCAGGCTGGTCTCGAACTCCTGACCTCAGGTGATCTGCCTGCCTCAGCCACCCAAAATGCTGGGATTACAGGCATGAGCCACTGTGCCCGGCCCTCCATGACGATTTTATTTTCTAAATATTTTATCTGGAGATAACATAGCATGCAGATTACAGACATGAGCCACAGTGCCCAGACCGTGGGCTGGATTCTGAAATGCGGAATTCAAGGACATCAGCGGAAAAACTGTAGAAAATGGAATAAATTCTGTAGTTTCGTTAATAGTATTATAGCAATGCGTTTTCTTAGTTTTGATACAGATGCCCTGGGGATGTGACATGTTTACGTCAGTGGAAGCTGAGCTAAGAGTGTAAGGGACTCTGCATCTGCATTGCCTTTGCAGTAAATAAAATGTGGTCTATCATGCAATGGAATACTATTCGGTCATAAAAAAGGAAGGAAATTCTGACAACTACTACAGCATGGATGAACCTTGAGGACGTTATACTCTGTGAAATAAGCCGGTCCAAAAGGGGCAAACTGTATGTGTCCA